ATCCCCCACCCCCACCCCCCCACCCCCCTTCCCCTCCCAACCCCTCCTCCCCCCCCCCCCCCTCCTCCCTCTGCGGACATACGGCAGTGGCAATGAGCTCGTCACGGAAAGGGTGGGTGGCAGCCATGATAAATGTTAAAGTCGACTCTGGTGTGAGCGAAGTTGGGTGCCTTTCACACAGCCGCCATTGCCGCTGTTGCTGCCGTTGACGGTGTCACTGTCACACTGCTGCGCTTGACGCTGTTGCTGCTGCCGATTGCTACGGCGCGACCAATGTCGCAACCAGAGCGGTGGCTGCCTGGCCAAGATCCGACTCACACACTCTTGATTCCGGCCCGATCAAGCCCTCAGTCCAAACCGTTGGCTGTCTCGTCCAACCCGAACAATCGCTTGGGTGATGCCCAGAGGCCATCTGGTCATTGCGCATAGGCCCTGCCTGCTACAGTCGATTCCGACTCATGCCGAGCTGCGGATGTCGTGGACGGCGGCGGCAAGGGTGGCGACGTGCGGATCGGGCTTGCCCAGTGCGGCCAGCGCCTCATCGAGGCGGAGCAAGTACTCGATGTTGGGGCCAGACTCGCCAGCGGCTGACGCGATCTGCGCGGCCATCAACGCTACCGGTGCCGGGCCAAGGTACGATGGATTGTCCGGCGTGGCAATATAGGTGCAGGCCTGGAGGATCCGCCCGTCCTCGGCGTGCACGTCGACGGTGATGAGCGCGTAGCCGTCCTTCTCGCGATGGTCCAGCCGCGCCCGCAACTCGTCGCGCTGCGGGCCATCGGGAAGGGCGTAGGCGCGACCCCAGACCCGATCTTCATCATCGGCGGCGGCATCGGCTCCACCAACCGCGCCAGTACCACTACCACCCACCGGCTCCAGTGTCACCACCCGCCCGGGCGCCTCGGCCGTGCCGCGGTGGTCGGTCGAGCCCTGGTGGAACCGGCGGCGCCAGCCGGAGACCCAGCCGACGACCGACTCGGCGTCCTCGAGGCCCGGCTCGGGCTTCCACACCAGCGAACCGTAACCAAACAACCACCGCGTCGCGTCGCTCTCGCTCTCGCTCTCACACATGTTTGCCTCGCTTGCTCTCCTCTTCCTCCCGAGTCGTGTGTGTTCGGTAATGCGATTGTACTCTGCCGCTGCCCTCGCGGTGACGTCATCGCGGTGCAGGGGCACTACCAGCTGCCGATACGAAGCGTGAGCTCTGCCCGATGTGTGTCCTGAGGATGGACAACAACCGGCTCGACGTTGGCGGCCTCGACGCAGATGAACCGAGCGGCATCACCGGGCGCAAGATCGGCCATGGTCGCGGCACGCTCGGCGCCCGGGTTCCACACCACCACATCACGGAAGCCAGCGGTGCGCTCGATGTCAAACAGGGTCTCGCCGGCCGCGTCGGTGATGGCCAGCGTGAGTGGCGCGCGCCGAAAGGCGGCGTCGACCTCGCCTGCAAAGCTGATGTCGGAGTCAGCTGGCCAAGTCTTGATGGCCATACCGTCGGTCTTGTCGACGTACACCACGCCTCCGAGGCCGGAAACCCGGACCTGCGCCGCATCCGGAACCGCAAAGTATGTGTGCAGCGCGTCGGTAAAGACCAGCGCGTTGGCCAGCGGCTCATGGACAGCCTGGTCGTACGTGTTCTCCTCCCGCCCGTTGGTCACCGCCCACGCCAGCCGAAGCGCATTGTCGTCGGTTAGCTCGACACAGTACTCGGCAGAGAACGGGAGCGTTCCCGGTGGCACTCCGTCCGACTCGTGGGTGAGCACAAGGGTCACTGCGCTCGGAGATGCGTCGGCAACCGTCCACGTGGCCTTGCGAGCAAAGCCGTGATTGCCGAGTGGGCCCTGACCGGCAAACTGCGGGAAGCAGACCGGGATGCCGCCACGGATGGCAGCATCGTGTGCATACACTGCAGCCTCTGATGTAAACAGCACCGATTCAGCATCCTTGCCCTTTGGCTGCCACGCCGTCACGTGCGCCCCGTGGAGAAAGACCGTCGCCAGCGCGCCTGTCGCCGCATGCTCCAGCCCCAGGTACTCCAGCCCCGAGCTATGCCTCTGCACCACGCCTGCGCCCACGCCTGCACCAGCACCTGCACCAGCCTCTCTACGTGCACCTGTCCCTGTCTCTGCCATGGTATCCGGTTTTCGTGTGGAGCAAGACAGGTGAGGGGGACAGATGGGGGGAGGGGGGAGGGAGGGAGGGGAGGGGGGGGA